TTAATTTAAATGAAAATGAATCATGTAAAAATCGTTTCAAAGAATTAGAATTCTTTACAGTTTACAGCCTCTACATATATAAGACTATATTATATGTTAAAAGCCGGGAGTCGCAACTGCAAAGACAGCAAGATGTACATACTTACAATACTAGACACAAACAAAATTTTATAATTAAAAAGCATAAAAAAGAAAAATTTAAAGAAAGCCCTGATTATATTGGGGTTACATTTTTTCATTCCCTCCCTTGTAGCATCAGAAATGAGGAAAACGGAAATAAGTTCAAAAAAAAGCTTAAGAATTTTCTAATTAGTGGAGAGTTTTATAATTTTGAAGAATTTACTGCACTATGTTCAAATATGTAAATAAACATGTAAATATGTAAAAAAAAATAAAAGATAAAATGGATCAGGAAAATGGTTTTTAGTATTAGTTATAGTTTAAGATTAAGACGCATTCATGTACACATTGTTGTATGTCTGAATAAAGATTTATTTGACTTGACTTGACTTGACTGTTATAAGAACGCAAATGCCGTCGCGCAAATGTCGTCGAGATAGCGCCGTTTTAACGTTGTAATGGGACTCTTATGGGGAAGGTTATACTATAAAATATTTGATATTATTTTTTATTTATTATTTTTATTGGTGACATCCACGTGACGGCATTAGCGCTCGTATTACATGGCCTTAGATTTATTTTTCTGATGAATTATTGCGTGTTTCAGGTCCCATCTTCAGAAAAAGAATGGATGGCAGTGGCTGAGCAATACAACACCAAGTGGAATTTCCCTCACTGTCTGGGAAGCATGGATGGCAAATATGTGACATTGCAAGCGCCTGTGCATAGTGGAAGTGAATTTTACAATTATAAAGGCACTTTTAGTATTGTTCTTTTCGCGATTGTTGACGCGGATTATTGTTTCCTATATGTGGCCGCCGGATGCCAAGGTCGGTTATCAGATGGGGGTGTATTTGAGCACACTGATTTCAAAAAAATGATGACGAACTGCACGCTTAATACTCCGAAGGCGAAATATTTGCCCGGAAGTACATATCCATTTCCACATGTGCTTTTAGCTGATGACGCTTTCCCATTAAAAACCTGGATCATGAAGCCGTTCCACGGAACATACAACCAGGGCAGCGCTGAAAGGATTTTTAACTACCGAATTTCTCGTGGTAGGAGAGTGGTCGAAAATGCTTTTGGTATCCTGTCAGTGGTGTTCCGGGTTCTGAGAAAGCCCATGTTGCTTGAGCCGGAAAAGGCGGAACAGATAGTTCTCACTTGTACATATCTGCACAATTTTCTCAGGAGAAGTAATACATCCAGGAAGACATACTCACCACCAGGCACCTTCGACTCAGAACATCCTGAAACATTTGAACTTATACCTGGACAATGGAGGGTGGAGGGTCCACCAACCGGTACGTTACTAAAATTACGGAAACTACCAAGAAAGGCATCAGATCTGGCAAAAGAGATTTGGGTTCAGTTCAGTAAGTATTTTCTTACCCCTGAAGGATCAGTCCCATGGCAAAATAACGTGTAACAACGCTATAACAATTGCCGTACAGTATATATGTGGCCATACGTGATGATGATGTGATTAAAGAACATTAGCAAACCTATAGCTATAAATCTATCTTGTTAAATAATTGTTGTTTAATGTTTATCTTTCTCTGTCCAAAACATTATTTAGTATGTTATTGTACTAAGTATCTGTATATTTTTACAACGAGAAATAAGTGTTAACCTGTTTAAAATTTGTTGAAATCGTCTTTTTTATGGACATGTCATTATTTTTTTTTTGTAGAAACAACGGTTATAGATTTATTTGTTGTATGGTAATATAGGCCTACATTCATTTATAATATCACATTGATGTATTGTAACAGCTGAATAAAACATTTTCATTACAAACAAATTACAAAGAAGTTTGATTGTTCCTACAAAATTGTTCGTATTTATAAATATTCTTTTTTCTCTAGTTTAGGTATAGGTTACAGTTGCTAGGTCATTTATTTGCATAATTTTATAAATACTAATACAAATATTACAAAGTTCATTTTAAATGGTTACTACTGATGATTGATAAACATTAGTGGAGCAAGAAAACAAAGTTTTTTGGAAGTTTTTTGGATATGGTGTTGATTCAAAATATAAAAAAATCCTATATTTTAGACCAGTAGGTATGAAAATTAATCCAATCCTAGGAATAATGCAGTAGGCCTACAAAGAAAAGTGGTAAACATACCATCATCCTATAACAAATAGTGTACATAATTTTGTTTGTACTATTGTTGAAAATAATCACAGCTTTATATAATGTAGGCCTATACAACTTAAATTTAGTTATAATTTTGTATATACTGTAGCAACTGATTACCAAGAAAACTGAAATAAGATAAAGGTTTGAAGAGGTTTGAAAGTAGGGGTGGTATGTACTAACGGTGGCAATGCCGCGCCATTTGGATTGAAAGGGCTCGCTTATCAAAGGCGCCGCCGCCGTCGCCCGCCAGTGGTGTGGCGCCCCTTTGCCAGAGTGAGTCTTCCCTAAGTGTGGGCTGCGTACTCAGCCAGTGCCGATCGGTAGTGATATAATAGTGAATATATTCTTACCTGGGTATCTTGAGTAGGCCTATCAACACCTGCCGATCGGAAGTCTCGTGGTTTAGTTTTGTCCTTTAAAAACAAAAGACTATTAAAAGCGAACCACTTCACATGCTCTGAAGCTCCCGAGCCACTTTTCTTCTTTAATGTCCTCTGAAATTTTCCAATGAGACACCTCATCTTCCGCTCTACTTCTGCTCTGTCCATCTTCATTTCCAACGCGATACTTGACCAAGCATCATGCTTCTTGTTCCTGATTTTATAATCAGGACAACTAGCATCTCACAACGCCGGTTGTTCACGGAACAGTTCTATTAAGTTTATAACAGCATCCCGATCCCACGCACTGTCGCTATCAAATACTTCCATTGTATCACCAAGCGAAAACGTCCGCACACACAAGGCTACAACCGTGAACTGTTGACACTAAATGCTACATATAGCAGATGCTAGACGAAAAATTTTTGTATAACATCTACATATAGCAATGTTAGATATAGCACGCATTTCTTTTGATCTTTACCGACTCCCGATGGATAGCACAATTTTTGTTATATATAGCAGAATCTGCTACATATAGCAGTGTTATATAGCACTTTTGAAAAGTGACTTTTTCTACTTCTAGCAAATGTTATATAACATTGCTAGATGTTACACAAATCTGCTATATAGCAGGTTTTGCTACACATAGTGTAAACCCGGCTTTACAATAAACAAGGTAGGATGGATGACATTACAAGTGGAAGCTGATTGTTTTCAATCACAGTCAAGCAAATGGAAGTGACAACTTTAATTAGCTAACTCTGATTCTGCAATATAAAAATCACCTGATTAAGTTACACTTTTCACTTTCTAAGACCAATAAGTTGTATTATTGTTACCAGTAGGCCTTTTTTATCCTTATTAACTTAATGATTTATTGATTTATATTTCACCGTTTAGAAATTACATAATAAAATGGTGCTATTCTAACATAACCTAACCTACCCAAACCTCTAGAATGTGTAAGCGTAAGCAAACTCCTTTTGATGTCAGAAAAGGCAGGTCAGGGTGATAGGTCGTGCTTTATGTGAATTGATGACTGCATTAAGTCCTTTGAAGGTAGGTTAGATTAGGTAAGTTAAAGTTTAGGTTATAATGTATCAAGTTGTTAGTTTATGTCGCCTGCAGACTGTTTTTGTAAAATTAAAATCCAGAAAAAACTACTACCTATTTCAAAAATGCAAGCATTTTTGAAAAAGTAATTTGAAGTGTTTTTCTCAGGATTTTAATCTTACAAAAACAGTCTGCAGGCAACATAAACTAACAACTCGATACATTATAACCTAAACTTTACCTTCCTAATCTAACCTAACTTCAAAACACTTAATGCAGTCACCAATTCACATACAGCACGACCTACCACCCTGACATACCTAAATAGGAACTACATGTAGCCTAATTAGTCCACCAGTCCATCTATATCTTCATAATGTGACGAAATTCCTATTATAGAATCATTAAGTTATTTGACTACAGAATCACTTGAAATGCTATCCATCCTATCCTGTTTATTGTAATGTTAAGTATGTTTTTAGCGGTGAAAAATAATGGTATACTTGGATTCAGGAGGTAAAAAACTTTTAAAGTTAGATATCAAAATTAAAAATTCGTTTGGAGGCACCTATACGGAATAAATACCCAAATTGCATAGGCCTATTTTATTATTAAAATAATGGTACAGTTTCTTAACTGGGCTATGCTAATATCGATTGAAACTATCGAATTGAAAATATTGATTAATAATCGATATTTGTAAATATATCTATTATAAAATTAAACTATCATAACCTAACCCAACCAACCAACCATGCTGATGGTGAAAAAATCGCATGAAGGTTTACTAATCAATTCGATAGTTTCAATCGATATTAGCATAGCCCAGTTAAGAAACTGTACCCAAATATATTATTATTTTAAGTTACCGTAACTTGATACGGTGTTGTCTTTCACCTCGATGGCTGTAGCCTGTTATTGTATCTGGTCCTAAGTTAGCCCTACTTTTTTAACTCTAAACTTTAATTAGATTATGACCGATACTCTCCACGATTTACAATAGGCTACTATCAAAAGCACACACGTTTGAGATTAACTGAATTCTCTAGGTAGGCTATTTAGATTGCCCTGGGAAACAATACCTAAGTTAAGTATGATGGAACACATAGGTAGGCTACCAAGCAGGTCCAAGTTGCTGGTTAGGACCGTACCACTCACATAAATCAATTACAGTTAATAAAAGTTTGTATTTAAAACAAATCCTTACTAATTTAGACCCAAAACAACTTTCTGACACTTAAACTTAAAACGACCATTCATGCAAATAACTTAATTGTGAAAGAAATACTCACCGTTCCTTGTTCGTTGAAATCATCCATTTCTGTCAACAATAAAAGATGAGACACTAGCAGTAAATATCTTTACGAATATCTGAATTTTAATTTCCTGCAATTAATGAAAAACTATTCATATTTTAATCACTTCGGATTATCAAAATCTTGTTTATTTTACTAGTACTACACACAGTAGAATAACAAATGACAAAACAACGACATGACACCTGTGACTCTGACTCAGCATTGTAAAAACGAAAACAGGATTACAAAACAAACTCTATCAGCTGTAAAGAAAGGCTATCAGTATTTTAAAAGCCAGCCTAAGCAATTACCCATACTATACAAAATATCTCAATATTTGCCTTTTCAAAACTTTATACAACTTGATCCAAAAATATTTTTTGGGATTTATAATGGTTAAGTAATGTTTAAAATTAAAATGTTATCTTTGGATTTTTAAGCTACAATTGATTTCTTTTATACTGTAGACCAAAATTTAAAAAAATGCTCTAAATAAACTATAAAGACACAATCTTTCACTTCGGATGAAACAAAACATAATAATTCACTGTCAGGATAGTGTTAATTAAACGTTTTTTTCATTTCCTGAACATTTTAAAGATAAGGATAATGTGAGCTTTGGAATGGACCACCTCATTTACTTACGCACACTCTATGGTGCAAAATAGCCGCTGCGGCAATTATTATTGGCAACCACAAAAACTAAATAAACCCATTTATAATGCAACGTGATGTTTATTACCCTATTATAAACATTGTATATCAATTAGTTTTTTGGACGTGTGATATATCCGTCTTTAGCCCAGAAAAGAAATTTCTCGGGACGGATATATATATCCGCTTTCAGCCCGGAAAGTAAATTAAGATCGGATATATCCGTGCATAGCCCTGGAAGGGTTAATATATTACGTATAAAACAATAGGTATATAAAGTTTTCTTTTGGGAACAAATCATCATTATAGTACACTCCACATAGGTACGGTAGCTAATAAATAAGATCTGTGTTCGATTTTTGTTTTCATTTAAAATTCTCATTCTTTAAAGCAAAGTACCAACGTTAGATGTCTCCCCCCAACCAAAACCCTAAATTCCCACCGGTCCCTTAGTGAGTTCTGAGTTGGAGTTATATTGGTGACAGTAAGTCATTACATTTTCCTAAATATCTCGCTTATTTGATGATCCAATTAATTCTTGTATACTCGTGATCTGCTTGTTGGTTTAATCTGAGTACCCAACATATTTTGATAAAGAAAGTTTACTACAGTTAATTTTTTATTTTTCGGGGATTTCCGTTGTTTTCTGCGGAAATAGTTATTTGAAAAGTTAACTGTTAATATGACATTTTAATGATACAAAAGTACAACAGCTGACCAGCTGATTTACAGCCAATGCTGCCAACGTATTTTGCGTGCATACGGCCTTGTCTGCATGTTACGCGCTCACTATTTCGTGCCTTCACGTTGCAAATCTGGAGTGAGACAAAGTAATTAGAGTGAGACAGTTAACATTGTCTCACTGATGAGCGAATTGGCCACTTTGCTTTCTCAAATCAGTGAGAGAACATGTAGTCCGGTTGCCAAACCCTATATTTTTGGCTAACCCAAAAATTTTGGATTAAGTTTTTTTGTTAATGGATAGTTACTAGGACATGTAAAGCTTCAAGAAAATGCATGATGACATCCTGTCACCTTTGGGCAATTCGAGATTTGGCCGCCATCTTGAATTTTTTCCAAATATCTTTGTATCATTTATATATATGTAATATAGGGTTGTTGTATATCATTTTATATGTTTTAATGTACGCTGAGTTCAATGGGAGCACTAAAAAGTATCTAGAAATAGTAATTTCTTAAAAACCACCGCCATCTTGAATTTTTATAAATGTTTTTGGATTATTTTTTTATTCGTAAATATATGGTTGTTTATATCATTTTATATGTTTTTATGGATGCTGAGTTCAATGGGAGCACTAAAAAGTATCTAGAAATAGTCGTTTCTTAAAAACCGCCGCCATCTTGAATTCTTCGCTGCTGGCCATACCAATTACGCACGTTATGGGCTCTTCTACCTCACTTCCTTAGAAAAACTCCCTCCATCTACTTTGAACCATTTCCTTGGTGGCAATCACGTCATGCGTCATAATGGCTTATGAAATACAATATGGAGCGATATGTGGATAGACAGGAGTGCCCACAAGGGGGGGCTGTGACGCAGACTGCGTCATTGAAATTCTTGGGGGGGCTCAAAAAATTCAAATGGGGGGGAAGTGGCTAAAGCTAATTGCAACAGTGTTCAACGTGACGACAATCCAAAATATATTAGTCACCAGATAGTAAGTGGATTAATTAATGACAATAGTTATATTATTGAATTCAATTAGTTAAAATAGGATTTTAGGATAGTTCAGGATTCGTGTAGGAAGTTATTATTTAAGATTAGCAGGACGTGAGATCTAAGAGGGAGGGCACGGAATGGCTCAACTGCTGTGATAGATAAAAGATAACTCGTGGTACAGACACGTCCAGCTACACCGCGACTTAGCACAGAAAGCTTTGTTGACATAAATATCGTTAAAATACAATCAAGTAGCATAAGCTACAATACTTTACACTATTGTGTAGATATTAGATTACCTGAGTTAATAGTGTAAGGGGGGGGGGGGGGGTAATGAAAAATACGGTTGATTCAATATATTACAAAAACAGATGACAAACTCCTCATTAAAACACTGTAAACAGCCATTAACGTCACGATTATCATTTTTATAAACAAAATTCAATATTGCGCAATCATTATTATTAGTATTGTAAATTTCATATAATTTATCTTGGTTCAGTTTTACAAACGGCAACGTTTAAAATTGTAGCTAATCACCAGCTCTAATTACTAAGCATCATAATTACTCTACTAATCAGCAGCCAAACATTGCATTGCTATAAATAACGTAAATATTAAAGGAACCTAACTTAAAGGTAAAACGGAGCAGACGATTGTTGGCGCAAGCGTTGTTTCCATTTCATTTTCACCAAAGGTGCTGTGATGTTTCTAAAGGGAGGGAGAGGGGATCGTTATATCGAGAAAAGGGTGGGCAGATTTTCACATCCTTGTTAGTCAGTCGTGACGTCATCGTTGATTCGTTCGATTCGAGAAGTCGATGTTGTTTTGCAACATAGTCACTTCGACATATCGTCTATCGATATTTGATCGTTGTTCGCGTCGAATTCGTTATCATCATGGTTGTTTGTTAAGCAGGTTGTTTCTCTACATTTTTATGAATATGAATCTGATAGTCACAGTAGAAAAACCTTTTAAGCTTATAGGACGGTCTGTAATTTAAATTTACCGCTCATATGCAAATCTAATTGTATCGGATCGGAAATAAGGAGCTTAAACCAAGTTGGACGTGGCTTGTGACCAAAAGTAAAAGATATAATAAACAAGAAAGACTTAAAGCTATACATAACCTGGCCAAAATCCGCACGTGCCCACTAGCTACCTTGGTTATTTCTAATGGAACTTAATTTCGGGATCTTATGACAAGATTGGACTTTGCTTTACTGATTTTCATTCAACAATGTAGGCCTATTTAAGTTATTAAAATGTATTTTGTTCTCATTTGTTACCCCTAGTATATTAATTTAATATGGGTATTTTGTGTTTAGTCTTAGCTTAAGATTTATGAAACTTAAGTTGTGCTGTTGTGCTTATAAAACTATTACCGGTAAATATTAAGTTTTGGGCATTTCAAATGCTTAATTTTAGACGTAGGCTAAAATAACATTAACAGGTATAGCCTATAATTGAACATCAAGAGGATGTCATAGGCTATGTAGCCTACTTTGCAAGTCCTAGGTCCTATTATTGTGGTAATAAACCCCTTTATAATTCAAAGGCATGGCATCAAAATAGCAATGAAGATCCAACCTAGCTAATAATTTACACAGTTTAGGCCTGGCCTATAAACTTAAAGCAGTGTTAACAACTTCTGAAGCCCAGCTAGCTTAAAGCTTCCGAATCTATTAACATAGACTTGTTAGATTCTATATCCTATTCCCAATATGGCCAGCCTATGGAAATTCAGAATTCACCAAGGTCACAAAATTAATTATTAACAAAGTGTAATTTCGATTCCACGTGATCACCATCATTATTATCTTCTGTCACCTCCATTCCTGTAATAGGCCTAGGCCTAAGTTAAGTTAATCCAAGTCCAAAAACATATAATTTTATGATAAGTCTCAAAAACATATATGACTTAAGTCATATATGTAAATATAAAAATGTATAATTTAAGTTAAACTATCCAGAAAACAACATCTCGTAAGTTAAGTGAAAATTAAACAAACTGGTAAGTTATATCTGAAAACAAGATTAACAAATTTTCTTTCGTTACGCTTGTCGACATACATTCAATCCAACCAAACAAAGAAAGAGAAAGAACCAAAGAACGAGAATCAAGATTCGAGAAAGATATATTTTAGAAGGATGCGTTTCTCTAGTAAGTAAATTAGGGGTATTCGATTATCGACTATTTTGACTTGTGGAGCTATGCGATACCAGTACGGTAATTGCATCGCATCGACGATGGTCGATGACGTCACGACTGACTAACAAGGATGGGAAAATCTGCCCACCCGAGAAAAGACGCTGACAGTTCGTTAAGCAGAGGTTACGAACGCTATATGGATATTCTGGCAATAAAAATTCCTTAAATTGAGGTGACTTATAAAACTCTAATTTTATTTATATAGAAAGATAAGTTTTCCAGTCCTGTACAACACTTATTCACGGTCTTTTCCCTGTAATCAAAATTTAAGTACAACTTGATACACACAGAATCTCCGGTTCCCGACCTGGATGATGGCTAGTTATTTAATTTAATTTACAGTTACATATTAGTACCCGTGATAAATCAAACCCATTATGTAAGCCAAAGCCACACACGGTTATTAATCTCACTTGGTTTTGGATTTGCTTACAAACGTGATCGTAAATGGTTACAAACATGATCGTAAATGGTTACAAACGTGATCGGAAATGGTTAGGGGCCTACCACTCTAGTAATCGTGGGGCCTACACAGTATTCGTAAACATCATTTATGTAAACATATCAGTGACAGCTAGGAAAAGGAATCTTTATCAAAACAGCTGTTCGTAATTTCATATATGACGTGTTCTCTTAACAGATTATTAGTATTTCA